AACAATAAACGTGTTCATTACATTGTGTATTTGTGTTCATTGCTTATCAAACTTTTAATTATAAGATTACATGTACATTTCTATTTTAAAAACACAGTTTTTACATTTGCGTTTAACATGAATACATTGAGATTGCAATTAAATGATTGTATGTGTTGGGAATATCAATTAAAACTAAGAAATTAACATTCTGATTTGCAAATACAATGTTCGACTGGTTATCATTACACTAAGAAGAAAGATGATCAGAAATAGAAGCAGAACCCACGTAACATATACATTTTATAGTTTAATTTAATTCCAATCTCATTCCGTGAAAACTGTGAAATAATAACTACACCGAAGTGATGGGAATATTTAATGCAACAAGTGTAATTACACGTTCTTATTCCCTGCCAACATGCGGTGGCTCAGAGAAATAAGAAAAAACTCCCAGCCCAGAAGAGATTGGACTAAAGTAATAAACATGAAGTGAAGTAGATACAAAGACATTAAAAAAAACAAAAACCTTCTCAATAAGTATCTAACAACTGGGGAGAGATGTTCCAAACTTTTGTAAAGCTTCTAATTTTGTTACTGATTGAATGTTAATGTATCTCAAGTAAGCTGGGCTTTTCCAAAAGCCTATGTGTTGAATTATCTCTCCCGGCATCTCCTGCTTGAATGCCCAGCTTGCTCCACCCCTTCGAAATGAATGTCCAGTGATTCGCATCGAAGGGTCGGTCTCGTGCAGTATGTGATTAACAGTCTCTAAAAACACACTCTCTTTCAATGCCTCACGTTGATTGTTACACAACAAAGGTCCCGCTCCATCATCAAGACCATGTAGCTGTAGTAGGTTGACCATAGCTGACACGGGGTCTAATGGATGGGATTCAATCGCCGGCAGTATTACCTGCAGACGCTTCTCACGAAATTGTAATGTCTTAGACCAGCGTAGAGTCACGCACATACCCCCCTCTATTGTTGATACATCACACAGTCTTATGTCTCTATCCACACTAAACACAGTTCTGCATAAGAAATTGCCCGGTCGGAGCATACCGTAAAATCCCAGCAGGCAACCCATGAATATTGATGCCCCAAGCAGAGTGTCCAGTTTCAATCTTGAACGGACTGAGAGCAGCATCTCTGGTGTCACGGGTACAGCCCCTGCTTGTGAATCTCCAAGTTCACGTCTGGCGCCTCGCAAGGCTTGTCTAATCTGCCAACTATCTTTGACGGGGTCATTGTAGCCATGCCAGAGATGAACATTTGTGACTATACACAAATATTGGCGAACACTTGAATATTTAAAACATTTCACATCAACAAGATACACAATATACTGCAACAAATGAGCTTCCAACACGGGAACTGGTTCTATCTGTAGTAATCTACAGAAGTCTAGAAAACACTTGAGTTGACTGGAGTACGTTTTTGACGTTGTCTGTGCCCATCCGTTCATAAGTAGTCTATTAGCCGACGCCTTCAGCATGGTCTGCAGACTTTCCCCACCTAGAAGTGAGGAATTTACTTGACATGTGACACAACAATAAGTCCCTGGAAAAATACATCATCTGCATACTTGGTATTAATTTATATAATTCAGATAGTTTACCGTTTGTAGTCAAACGGGAAATACAGTCAGCTAGCACATTTTGTGAGCCTGGTAGGTACTGAGCTTGAAGAGAAAAATTATATGTAGCTTGCAACCACACAAGATATCTCAAGTAACTCATCATAAATTGAGATCTAGATGTTTTCTTATTAATAATAGACTTGGCTGTGATATTGTCTGTTTTCACCACAATCTTCTTATTCTGCCATGCTGATGACCACCTTTGAGCAGACAAAATAATTATCATGGCCTCTTTGACATTAATATGTTCTGATTCCATAACAGGCATGTCAAGTCTCCAATTTACATAGAAGAAATCTCCATTATAATATGCACCACCTCCGGTCATGCATGCATCTGTTTGTAAAGTATTGATAGGCCTTGGGTCAAGGAACTTCTGTTTTCCATTGAAAGTTTTGAAGAACTGTGACCACCACCAAATGTCTGCCATAAAATCACTGTCTAAGTTAACTTTGTCATTGGAGTCTCGAAGTAGATTCTTTAGATTCAGAATTCTACGAAGAAATGTTCGTCCACCTTGAACAACCATTGCTGCCCAACTCATTTTCCCTACCAATTTCTCCAGCTGTTTCTTGCTGGCCCGCTTGCGCTCTTTGTAACTCTGCAACACTTCGGTTAAATCACACACCTTCTCGTCTGGTAATCTCAACACACACTGCACTGTATCAATTTCAACTCCAAGGAAAGTGAGTCTCTTGGTTGGCCCTTCTACCTTATTCCAATTGATATTGAAACCTAACCGACGTAATAGTTGCACAAGTAATGTTAGTGCTTGTACACAAGTATTCATATCATCACACACTATCAGAAAATCATCCAAGTAAGCGATGACATCCAATCCATACCGGTTTTTCATGATTCTACACACAGCTGCTGTTAATGACTGAAAGATCTTGGGACTTTTAGAGGCTCCAAAGGGTAATTTTGCATCATAGAAATAAGTAAGTTCTGTGTCCCCCTTAAACCGCCAGGCCAAACCAGTGTATTGATAATTAGAAGGATGAATTCTAACTGACCTGTAAGCACTTTTCAAGTCAAGTTTTGCAATATAACTCCCTTCCTTGATTAATTTGGTTGCGTGTCGAAGGTCCATATAATCACAGTCACATGAAGTCATGAAGCTGTTCATTCCTTTACCAGCCGGCAAACTGCCGTCATGAATTAATCTCACTTTTCCATTGGATTTTGGGATTGCACCAATGGCACTTACAATTTTTGGTTTAGATGATACTTTAACATAATTCCCTAAACTCATTTCTTCTAAAATTTGTTGTTCAACCAACAACTTGCTTTCCATTGCTGATCTATGATTCTTAGAAATACAATGTTCAGTCTCACCACTCACATCATCATCATCAATAAGTTTAAAACCATTTGCAACCCCATCAAGTATATAGTCTCTATCTGGATCTGTGAGTGGTAGCAGCTCCTCCCAAGCAGCAAAATTTAATGAGTTGAATTCCCTTGTGACATCGACTGGCCGTTTTTTTGGATAAAAACGGTCTTCTCTAGGAGATCCACGAAAGGATCCCTGGTCAGCAGTAAGGTCATGGTCTAACTTGCTGTGCCTTCCAAAACAAACACTACAGACATGCCTCAGTTTGCACAGTTCATCTCGACAAAATGTGAAATTGTACCGCCTACATATTTCTTGACCATCAGGTGTGAAAGGTCCGCGTGGTCTATACGGACATCTGTTGTTGCGTGATTGCTCATTCTGCCTCAACAGTTCTTTAGTTGTACCATCGGATTTTTGGACCAATTGATGGTCCCGGATGTCTTGTGATGGCGTTCCCCAACGAAACCCTTCCTTGGCTTGGAGCATACGATATTCCTTATCGTATAGCACAACACTTTGCCAAATATACTTGGATGAGTACCTAGCAATGTCCTGCATATACTTGAGATAACTATCAACATCATCATTGTCGAATGCACCTTTCTGGACCTGGTCACGCAATAATCCTAAATTTGCATACATCCACATGTCCAATGATATCTTAGATAGGTTTGTAGATTTGTTTCCTACATCGATGCTAACACCTCCCCCTAGATCGACTGTTTGTCTTGCCGTATCCAGTGAATTGACCCATAGAAAATTTGTGTAGTCTAAATGTTTGTTATTACCATTGGCGCCGCCATCTTGACGTCTTTGACCTTCACTTTGGTTGACCTCTCTGTTCACGTGATCGTCCTGTTCACGAGTCAGTTTCACCTTTAATGTGTCAATTTCTCTTCTGAGTTCGGCTTTCTTGTCTTCTAACCTGAGTTGATGTAACTCTTCACTTAATCGTCTATATTCAGAATCAAAGTCATTTTTCTCCACGCCAGCCGGAGCAGTCATGGCGTCTGTCGACAAGGACACAGGGGACACTCGTGTAAGGCTTGATCTTCCTTGTTTCTTCGATACTGGACTTTTCAAAGCTTCCATCACGTCTTGCATCCGGTTACCAGCGGTCTTGCGCTTGGGTTTTACCTCCTGTATACTTTCTGCCATTATGTTTTTCCTTACCAATTGACTGATTTTTCGTCACGATAGATCAAGCATGCCGCCATTTCAACCGCTCAGGACTCTACAAGAATTAGGTCAAGGAACTAACATCATTAAAAACTATTTTAATAATAAAATATTACCAAATAATAATCAGCAGATAACTTTAAAAATAGTTTTGTGTTTCTAATAGGGAAACTGTAACAACTGAGTTGCGCAGAGCGTCCAGTCTAACTTTTGCTATAGGTTTGCCTGTCCGTTGGTCTTGCATCAATCAAATTGTATTCTAAAATAAGGAACTAACATCACACATTAAAATGAATATTTTTTCAATAATAAAATATTAGTTAATGGAGGTTATTATCAACGACAATAATTTATCTGCGCATGAGCAGTGAGTAGTCAAATCACAGTAACAGCGGGAATGAAAAGTTCTGTGTTTTAACAAATGTTCTGTGTTTTAAGTAACAATGTAAATAATGGTGTTACTCTTGATATTAGTTATAAACAGACGTAAATCAAATAGCCTAAGATCAGTTTCAATGTCTCATTGTCATCCTTTGAGGTTTTCTGTTATAATATCTGTCAAATTGTGATTGAATATTCAGAAAGTTGACTGAAGCTATGTATTCCTTACATTTCCGGGTACTCGATTCCGATTCGGGTAAGTACATGCGGGTACTCGATTCCAATTTTTCCTACCCGTCCCAGCCCTAGCAACTTGGCAAGTGACAAATAAACAGCCACGAAAGGAAACTTCTGTACGTATCATCAGCGACACTGCATGATAACTGTGCGACACCTACTCATCACTGTGTGGAAAATGGAACACACCCGTACAATGAGCCAATAGCAGTGCTCGTCACTTCTCGCTTTGGTGTTTTGGAGACGACCCGTTGTCGAGTGTAAACAACCGCATGTGCGAAATGTGAACCAAACATTTCGTTCTTGTGGATAGATCCGGCCATTATTTGGAAAACCTTCTGGTCCAGCGATGGACAAATACTTCAACTATGGGTTGTACAAATAGTAGATCCTCAAATCAACCGGACTTCCAAGATGTCAAGCCGAGAAGTAACTCACCGAAAGGAGAAAGTTCGCTGGCCAAAGCTCGACAAAATTCCAACGGAAGAGGGTCGGGAGTTAAACGGAGACACTCACATCATACCAATGGAAACATTTTGGCAAAGCAACAAGACACGAATACAAAGAGACATATAGTAATGTTTACATGAATTGGTTCTCTAATTGGCTAGTAATTGCTGCGTATAACAGACAGATAGATAGAATGGCTTTATTTCCTCCAGATATGAATCTCGATCTTTGACCTTTAATATCACAGATGTGGGATATAGATTGGTCTTAATTTGTCTGTGTTACTATGATAGTTGCCAATGTGGTATATAAATTTATTATTGATACTTATAAAAAAGTTATTTCTTAACTGAATTTCACTTTGTTTGAGTTTGTATGATTATGAAACTTTACAGAGTGAGGGTCAAATGTGGACGCCTGCAACCTCATTCAGATTCAGACACCTTATGGTTGACACTTTGACAAAGTGAAAGTCAGTCCTAATACAATTTGATGTCACTGTTTTGTACCTGGAAAAATGCACACATGGATTCACGCAGTATATTAAGGACTTCATTTTGTAATATTGCCCAGTAATGTATGACGATGAACAAACTGGTTGTAACTACATGAACTTTGTTAGTATGTGATTTTGGTGACAAGGGGTTTCCATATCTCTTGTCCTTAAAACATCACTAATGAATTAATCTTGTATGCAGTGTGGAATCTGGTATGCAGGACTTGGTACAGGGGAATCAGTCTGTAACCCACAATGTTACACACACTAAACTGTTGATGAAATGTGACAACAACCACAGCAATGTCACCAATGGAAATATTTTTGTAAACCAATAAGACGCGGATACAAGGGGGAGGAATTAGTTTGGATGAAACAAACACCCACAGTAACAAACCTTTAAGCTCATTGATTTTATCTATGTTATTAGCTGATTATCTCACACTGTAACAAATGTTTTACACTTTCTTGGTAAAGCATAGAATCTATAACTTTTGGATTTGAGTCGGTATACAGTCTCTGGTGACATCCGGTAGTTGAAACCCCCACTCTCAGAGTGGGGCACAGTACACAAAGTCAGCCATCTGTGTAAGGCTGTCACAGGTGCACATGTGACCACTTTCTGTAAATCATTGTGTATACATATCTCACAGAGATTGTTAGTAACGGATTATCTCGCACACATTGTTCATAACTGATTATCTCACACACATTGTTAGTAAGTCATTATCACACACAGATTGTTAGTAACTCATTATCTCACACAGATTGTTGGTAACTCATTATCTCACACAGATTATTAGTAACTCATTATCACACACAGATTGTTGGTAACTCATTATCTCACACAGATTGTTGGTAACTCATCTCACACAGATTGTTGGTAACTCATTATCTCACAGATTGTTAGTAACTCATTATCTCACAGATTGTTAGTAACTCATCTCACACAGATTGTTAGTAACTCATCTCAAACAGATTGTTAGTAACTCATCTCACACAGATTGTTGGTAACTCATTATCTCACAGATTGTTAGTAACTCATCTCACACAGATTGTTAGTAACTCATCTCAAACAGATTGTTAGTAACTCATCTCACACAGATTGTTGGTAACTCATCTCACACAGATTGTTAGTAACTCATTATCTCACAGATTGTTAGTAACTCATCATCACACAGATTGTTAGTAACTCATTTATCTCACACAGATTGTTGTAACTCATTATCTCACACAGATTGTTGGTAACTCATTATCTCTCATCTCCACACAGATTGTTAGTAACTCATTATCTCACACAGATTGTTGGTAACTCATTATCTCACACAGATTGTTGGTAACTCATCTCCACACAGATTGTTGGTAACTCATTATCTCACAGATTGTTATAACTCATTATCTCTACACCAGATTAGTAACTCATCTCACACAGATTGTTAGTAACTCATCTCACACAGATTGTTAGTAACTCATCTCAAACAGATTGTTAGTAACTCATCTCACACAGATTGTTGGTAACTCATTATCTCACAGATTGTTAGTAACTCATCTCACACAGATTGTTGGTAACTCATTATCTCACACAGATTGTTGGTAACTCATTATCTCACACAGATTGTTAGTAACTCATCTCACACAGATTGTTGGTAACTCATTATCACACACAGATTGTTGGTAACTCATCTCACACAGATTGTTAGTAACTCATCTCACACAGATTGTTAGTAACTCATTATCTCACAGATTGTTGGTAACTCATTATCTCACACAGATTGTTGGTAACTCATCTCACACAGATTGTTAGTAACTCATCTCACACAGATTGTTAGTAACTCATCTCACACAGATTGTTAGTAACTCATCTCACACAGATTGTTAGTAACTCATCTCAAACAGATTGTTAGTAACTCATCTCACACAGATTGTTAGTAACTCATCTCAAACAGATTGTTAGTAACTCATCTCACACAGATTGTTGGTAACTCATTATCTCACACAGATTGTTGGTAACTCATTATCTCACACAGATTGTTAGTAACTCATTATCTCTCACAGATTGTTGGTAACTCATTATCTCACACAGATTGTTGGTAACTCATTATCTCTCACAGATTGTTGGTAAGACAGATTGTTAGTAACTCATTATCTCACAGATTGTTGGTAACTCATTATCTCTCACAGATTGTTGGTAACTCATTATCTCACTCAGATTGTTGGTAACTCATTATCTCACAGATTGTTAGTAACTCATCTCACACAGATTGTTGGTAACTCATTATCTCACAGATTGTTAGTAACTCATTATCTCACACAGATTGTTAGTAACTCATTATCTCACACAGATTGTTAGTAACTCATTATCTCACACAGATTGTTGGTAACTCATCTCACACAGATTGTTGGTAACTCATTATCACACAGATTGTTAGTAACTCATTATCTCACAGATTGTTAGTAACTCATCTCACACAGATTGTTGGTAAGACAGATTGTTAGTAACTCATTATCTCACACAGATTGTTGGTAACTCATTATCTCACAGATTGTTAGTAACTCATTATCTCACACAGATTGTTAGTAACTCATTATCTCACACAGATTGTTGGTAACTCATCTCACACAGATTGTTGGTAACTCATTATCACACAGATTGTTAGTAACTCATTATCTCACAGATTGTTAGTAACTCATCTCACACAGATTGTTGGTAAGACAGATTGTTAGTAACTCATTATCTCACACAGATTGTTGGTAACTCATCTCACACAGATTGTTGGTAACTCATTATCTCACAGATTGTTAGTAACTCATTATCTCACAGATTGTTAGTAACTCATTATCTCTCACAGATTGTTGGTAACTCATTATCTCACAGATTGTTAGTAACTCATTATCTCACACAGATTGTTGGTAACTCATCTCACACAGATTGTTGGTAACTCATTATCTCACAGATTGTTGGTAACTCATTATCTCACAGATTGTTAGTAACTCATCTCACACAGATTGTTGGTAACTCATTATCTCACAGATTGTTAGTAACTCATTATCTCACACAGATTGTTAGTAACTCATTATCTCACACAGATTGTTGGTAACTCATCTCACACAGATTGTTGGTAACTCATTATCACACAGATTGTTAGTAACTCATTATCTCACAGATTGTTAGTAACTCATCTCACACAGATTGTTGGTAAGACAGATTGTTAGTAACTCATTATCTCACACAGATTGTTGGTAACTCATTATCTCACAGATTGTTAGTAACTCATTATCTCACACAGATTGTTAGTAACTCATTATCTCACACAGATTGTTGGTAACTCATCTCACACAGATTGTTGGTAACTCATTATCTCACAGATTGTTAGTAACTCATTATCTCACACAGATTGTTAGTAACTCATTATCTCACACAGATTGTTGGTAACTCATCTCACACAGATTGTTGGTAACTCATTATCACACAGATTGTTAGTAACTCATTATCTCACAGATTGTTAGTAACTCATCTCACACAGATTGTTGGTAAGACAGATTGTTAGTAACTCATTATCTCACACAGATTGTTGGTAACTCATCTCACACAGATTGTTGGTAACTCATTATCTCACAGATTGTTAGTAACTCATCTCACACAGATTGTTGGTAACTCATTATCTCACAGATTGTTAGTAACTCATTATCTCTCACAGATTGTTGGTAACTCATTATCTCACAGATTGTTAGTAACTCATTATCTCACAGATTGTTGGTAACTCATTATCTCACAGATTGTTAGTAACTCATCTCACACAGATTGTTGGTAACTCATTATCTCACAGATTGTTAGTAACTCATTATCTCACACAGATTGTTAGTAACTCATTATCTCACACAGATTGTTGGTAACTCATCTCACACAGATTGTTGGTAACTCATTATCACACAGATTGTTAGTAACTCATTATCTCACAGATTGTTAGTAACTCATCTCACACAGATTGTTGGTAAGACAGATTGTTAGTAACTCATTATCTCACACAGATTGTTGGTAACTCATTATCTCACAGATTGTTAGTAACTCATTATCTCACACAGATTGTTAGTAACTCATTATCTCACACAGATTGTTGGTAACTCATCTCACACAGATTGTTGGTAACTCATTATCTCACAGATTGTTAGTAACTCATTATCTCACACAGATTGTTAGTAACTCATTATCTCACACAGATTGTTGGTAACTCATCTCACACAGATTGTTGGTAACTCATTATCACACAGATTGTTAGTAACTCATTATCTCACAGATTGTTAGTAACTCATCTCACACAGATTGTTGGTAAGACAGATTGTTAGTAACTCATTATCTCACACAGATTGTTGGTAACTCATCTCACACAGATTGTTGGTAACTCATTATCTCACAGATTGTTAGTAACTCATTATCTCACAGATTGTTAGTAACTCATTATCTCTCACAGATTGTTGGTAACTCATTATCTCACAGATTGTTAGTAACTCATTATCTCACAGATTGTTGGTAACTCATTATCTCTCACAGATTGTTGGTAAGACAGATTGTTAGTAACTCATTATCTCTCACAGATTGTTGGTAACTCATTATCTCTCACAGATTGTTGGTAACTCATTATCTCTCACAGATTGTTGGTAACTCATTATCTCTCACAGATTGTTGGTAACTCATTATCTCACACAGATTGTTAGTAATTGAATATGTTAGTAACTGCTTATTTTCTCTACATTCATTGAAATGACAACATGAACAATGTGTTTGAGTGGCATTTTTAGAACAATGAACAATGTCTTGTTGAAAACAGAAACTTCAGTCCAGCGAGGAAGTCTTGCAGTCACTATCAGATGGGGAATTATTTGAGGACCCATACTTCCCAGCATCCAACTCATCTCTCTACTGCAGTGATGGAGACAGGGATGACGTGCAGTGGATACGACCAAAGGTAATTCTACATGTAGCACATCCTTGCCCTGTCAGTTCTAGACAGGTTTAACCTGGTTGGTGTAAATACTTGTATACAGACTAACAGAGAAGTAGGAAGGTCTGACTCGTATACAGACAAGTAGGAAGGTGTGACTCATATACAGACAAGTAGGAAGGTCTGACTCGTATACAGACAAGTAGGAAGGTGTGACTCGTATACAGACAAGTAGGAAGGTGTGACTCGTATACAGACAAGTAGGAAGGTCTGACTTCATTATACAGACAAGTAGGAAGGTCTGACTCGTATACAGACAAGTAGGAAGGTGTGACTCGTATACAGACAAGTAGGAAGGTCTGACTCGTATACAGACAAGTAGGAAGGTGTGACTCGTATACAGACAAGTAGGAGGGTGTGACTCATATACAGACAAGTAGGAAGGTGTGACTCGGAAGTGTACAGACAAGTAGGAAGGTGTGACTCGTTATACAGACAAGTAGGAAGGTGTGACTCGATATACAGACAAGTAGGAAGGTGTGACTCATATACAGACAAGTAGGAAGGTGTGACTACAGACAGAGTAGGAAGTATACAGACAAGTAGGAAGGTGTGACTCGTATACAGACAAGTAGGAAGGTGTGACTCGTATACAGACAAGTAGGAAGGTGTGACTCGTATACAGACAAGTAGGAAGGTGTGACTCGTATACAGACAAGTAGGAAGGTGTGACTCGTATACAGACAAGTAGGAAGGTGTGACTCGTCAGTATACAGACAAGTAGGAAGGTGTGACTCGTATACAGACAAGTAGGAAGGTGTGACTCGTATACAGACAAGTAGGAAGGTGTGACTCGTATACAGACAAGTAGGAAGGTCTGACTCGTATACAGACAAGTAGGAAGGTCTGACTCGTATACAGACAAGTAGGAAGGTCTGACTCATAGCCTGGCTGTGTAGAAGACTGTCACTAGAACGAGGCAGGTTGCGTCACACACACAGTGTAAATACTTAAATGATGGTTTCTGTTCGAGATGAAGTTGTCCTAAATACATTAGTGACCTTTTTTACAATTGTTCAAACAAACAAAGAAAACAACAGATATTCTTAAACATCTGAAAACTCCAATGAGCTTGCTGTTGTTGTCACTCCCAACTGACATACAGACCCCCTGTATACAGGACTATGTAAAACTAGGAATGTGACATGTCTGGAGCGTACACAGCATGCTGTTGTTGTCTCTCCCCACTGACAATACAGACCCCCTGTATACAGGACCATGTAAAACTAGGAATGTGACATGTCTGGAGCGTACACAGCATGCTGTTGTTGTCTCTCCCCACTGACAATACAGAACCCCTGTATACAGGACTATGTAAAACTAGGAATGTGACATGTCTGGAGCGTACACAGCATGCTGTTGTTGTCTCTCCCCACTGACAATACAGAACCCCTGTATACAGGACTATGTAAAACTAGGAATGTGACATGTCTGGAGCGTACACAGCATGCTGTTGTTGTCTCTCCCCACTGACAATACAGACCCCCTGTATACAGGACCATGTAAAACTAGGAATGTGACATGTCTGGAGCGTACACAGCATGCTGTTGGTGTCGACAACTTCTGCCGTGGAGATTAGTGTATCAAAGTCTTCCTCGGTGTCCAGGATCTGCTGTCAGATGGTGCGGTACCAGAGATGATGGTTGATGGTGTAACCAAGGATGACATACAACAGGGAATTCTGGGAGACTGCTGGTTCCTGTCGTCGTGTGCAGCAGTGTCACAACAAGAACGCTTCATGAAGAAGGTAGGGAGATGTAGACTGACAAACTCTTCTTATCAGACTGGTTCAAGGCTGTGGTTAGACTAATGTCTAAATACGATAATTTAATAGTTTGGATTCCATTCAGGAATGTAGGCTTCTGCAGATGTAACAGATGTACATACAGTGCCTGGCCAAAAGTGAGTCATCATTAGTGAAATTTCCATAGAATTTCATGTTAATTAACTGTTGTAAAAATATTTTTCATACATTGAGTAGAAGTCATTTTATTTTGATAATTTGCAAACATCTTGGAAATCATCTTCAGCTATGTGAACATAATTTTCTTTCATCTTTCCGTTGATTTGTTATCGAATGACACCTCATTAAGCACCATAAGTACAACTTAATTTTAATCTATCCCATAGACAGCCATGTTAAACCTGATTGGTATGTCTAATATATGTTGTTTAAATAGTTGCAGTTTTCGTAATAATGATCGGAAAATTGAATGGAAATTATGTGTATGTAGCTGAGATGATTTCCCAACTGGTAAATAAGTATTGAAAGCAATTTGACCATAACTGAATTTTTGAAAATTGTTCTTGCAACAGTTAATTAACATGCAAGTCTAAGGGAATTTCACTAATGATGACTCACTTTTGGCCAGGCACTGTAGAAAGGGTCGTGTATCATGGGTCAGCTAATCAGAACTCCATGTTATATAGTGTACCGTGGGTCAGCTAATCAGAACTACATGTTATATAGTGTAACGTGGGTCAGCTAATCAGAACTACATGTTATATAGTGTAACGTGGGTCAGCTAATCAGAACTACATGTTATATAGTGTACCGTTGGTCAGCTAATCAGAACTACATGTTATATAGTGTAACGTGGGTCAGCTTATCAGAACTACATGTTATATAGTGTACTGTGGGTCAGCTAATCAGAACTACATGTTATATAGTGTACTGTGGGTCAGCTAATCGGAACTACATGTTATATCGTGTATCGTGGGTCAGCTAATCAGAACTACATGTTATATAGTGTACCGTGGGTCAGCTAATCAGAATTACATGTTATATGGTGTACTGTGGGTCAGCTAATCAGAACCGCATCTTATATCGGGTATCGTGGGTCAGCTAATCAGAACCACAACACATATTGGGTTTGATAGAACAACTTTGGAGCTGTTTTAGCGATGAATTAAACACAGTTGTTGTTGATTTCCAGATAATGCCGGAGAGGAATCAGCCACTTGATGGAGAAGGGTACAAGGGCATTGTCTGTTTCCAGTTCTGGCGTTATGGCAAATGGTTACAAGTATACATTGACGATAGACTGCCGGTGCAAAATGGAAAGCTTATATATGCTCACTGCACTGAGCAAAGAGAATTCTGGGTCGCTCTCATTGAAAAAGCATATGCAAAGTAAGTCTGCATCATGAGATGCCTAGCACAGGCCCTCGTGTCTTTGCGACGATTAATGATTAAAAAAAATATTGTTTTTGAGATGACCCCGACTCAAAATGCTCCACATTTTAATGCATCATGACATGGCCTGACACTTCGGTGCACCCCACCCAACTGCTTTGCCGATCGCTACGCAACCATCGCATGCAATCGATTAAAACTTAATGTAAACATGATCATGGATGATTGGCCTATCTAGCACCACTCATGACACCTACCAATTCTTTATTGTTATTTCTGCAAGTCGATTGAAACCCGATTTTGACCCTCAACTAAACGATCTTGACACAAATGGCTGACGATATATCCGCACAAAACGGGCTGTGTGGTCGAAGCAAGCCCTCTGGTTGGTCAACACTGCTAAATCTGCACATTCTTTATGAATTCTCGGGAATTTTTACTTTCATCGACTGCTTGACTTGGAAGAAATGTAAAGCATCATTTGTAAATGTCTCATTAACAAACATCAACCAACCATATGGCTTGCTTTGGGTAAGGTGCACCGAAGTGTCCGGCCTTGTCATAATGTATTATACTATGAAGCATTTCGAGTCGGGGATCATCTCATATTTTTGTATATCTTTTATAAAATCTTAATCCTCGCAAAGACACGAGGGCCTGTGATGCCTAGTCCTGTTTGAACAAGATTTTTGTACACCTCATCCTCATGATCCTTTCATGAGATATGACTCCTGGTTGTGTTGCCCGCAGATGTTGACATGTGTCTGTTGTGACATGACCTGAAGGTGGTGATATCTACATGTGTCTGTTGTGACCTGAACTGAAGATGGTGATATCGACATGTCTGTTGTGACATGACCTGAAGGTGGTGATATCAACATGTGTCTGTTGTGACATGACCTGAAGGTGGTGATATCTACATGTGTCTGTTGTGACATGACCTGAAGGTGGTGATATCTACATGTGTTTGTTGTGACATGACCTGAAGGTGGTGATATCTACATGTGTCTGTTGTGACATGACCTGAAGGTGGTGATATCTCCATGTGTTTGTTGTGACATGACCTGAAGGTGGTGATATCTACATGTGTCTGTTGTGACATGACCTGAAGGTGGTGATATCTACATGTGTCTGTTGTGACATGACCTGAAGGTAGTGATATCTCCATGTGTTTGTTGTGACATGACCTGAAGGTGGTGATATCTACATATCTGACATGTGTTTGATGTGACATGACCTGAAGATGGTGATATCTACATGGTGATATCTACATGTCTGTTATGACATGACCCGAAGGTGGTGATATCTCCATGTGTCTGTTGTGACATGACCTGAAGGTGGTGATATCAACATGTGTCTGTTGTGACATGAACTGAAGGTGGTGATATCTCTATGTGTTTGTTGTGACATGAACTGAAGATGGTGATATCTACATGTGTCTGTTGTGACATGACCTGAAGGTGGTGATCTCTGTATGTGTTTGTTGTGACATGACCTGAAGGTGGTGATACCTGCATGTGTTTGTTGTGACATGACCTGAAGGTGGTGATATCTACATGTGTCTGTTGTGACATGACCTGAAGGTGGTGATATGTACATGTGTCTGTTGTGACATGACCCGAAGGTAGTGATATCTACATGTGTCTGTTGTGACATGACCTGAAGGTTGTGATATCTCTATGTGTCTGTTGTGACCTGACCTGAAGGTGGTGATATCTACATGTGTTTGTTGTGACATGACCTGAAGGTGGTGATCTCTCTATGTGTTTGTTCTGACCTGACCTGAAGGTGGTGATATCTACATGTGTTTGTTGTGACATGACCTGAAGATGATGATATCTACATGTGTCTGTTGTGACATGACCTGAAGGTGGTGATATCTACATGTGTCTGTTGTGACATGACCTGAAGGTAGTGATATCTACATGTGTCTGTCGTGACATGACCTGAAGGTGGTGATATCTCTATGTGTCTGTTGTGACATGACCTGAAGGTGGTGATATCTACATGTGTTTGTTGTGACATGACCTGAAGATGGTGATATCTACATGTGTCTGTTGTGACATGACCTGAAGGTGGTGATATCTACATGTGTCTGTTGTGACATGACCTGAAGGTAGTGATATCTACATGTGTCTGTTGTGTCATGACCAGAGTGCAATCCCAAATATAACATATGTTATATGGTTCATTTTCAAAGTTGGTAGAATTTTCAATTCTTTATTACAGTAAAATTTAAACTCCTGAAAATTGATTTAATTTTTATTCAAATAAAATCTCAAACACTTAATTATTAAAAAATACAAACATGCAGGCTCGAATTTACTAATTGGCCTTTTAATTGATACATAAGTAATTAATAGGGTGGGGGAAAGTCCTTAATCAGAATAAGGATTTTGAAATATAATTCATAAAAATCTTTTAAAGATGGCAGACACAGCTTTTACACCGGCTTAATCAAACTTGAAGGTAAAAACTATTATCATGAATCTTGAAAGTGATATTTTGTATCTTTCATTTATTTACCACAAAATAATAGCATTTATATAAAACATTATTATACCCCCGCTACGACGTAACGGGGGTATATAGCGTTCATTCTGTCCGTCCGTCCGTCCGTCCGTCCCGAAACTTTGTCCGGAGCATATCTCTTAAAGTTTACATGCTAGGTTCACCAAACTTCACACACATAGTAATCATTACCCATTGATGTGCCTTTTGCTATTTTAAAGTTTTTTCAGAATTTAGTTTTTTTGCTGTTTGCATGGAAACATGATTTAGGCTGTGACTATGAGGATGTCATCTTGTCCGGAGCAGATCTTCCAAACTATACATGCTAGCTTCATCAAACTTGGTACACATATCAAGCATGATCCCTAGATGTGCCTTTTGGGGTTTAGATCCAGATATGAATTGTATTTTTTGCTGTTTCCATGGAAACACGACTTAGTGCCAAATGTGTTTGATTATTTTGCCCAGAGCATATCTCTTAAAGTTTACATGCTAGGTTCACCAAACTTCACACACATGTTAATCATTACCCATTGATGTGCCTTTTGCTATTTTAAAGTTTTTTCAGAATTTAGTTTTTTTGCTGTTTCCATGGAAACACGACTTAGGCTGTGACTATGAGGATGTCATCTTGTCCGGAGCAGATCTTCCAAACTATACATGCTAGCTTCATCAAACTTGGTACACATATCAAGCATGATCCCTAGATGTGCCTTTTGGGGGGTAGATCCAGATATGAATTGTATTTTTTGTTGTTTCCATGGAAACATGACTTAGTGCCAAATATGTTCGATTATTTTGTCCAGAGCATATCTCTTAAAGTTTACATGCTAGGTTCACCAAACTTCACACACATGTTAATCATTACCTATTGATGTGCCTTTTGCTATTTTAAAGTTTTTTCAGAATTTAGTTTTTTTGCTGTTTCCATGGAAACACGACTTAGGCTGTGACTATGAGGATGTCATCTTGTCCGGAGCAGATCTTCCAAACTATACATGCTAGCTTCATCAAACTTGGTACACATATCAAGCATGATCCCTAGATGTGCCTTTTGGGGTTTAGATCCAGATATGAATTGTATTTTTTGCTGTTTCAATGGAAACATGACTTAGTGCCAAAGGTGTTTGATTATTTTGTCCAGAGCATATCTCTTAAAGTTTACATGCTAGGTTCATGCTAGGTAAATGCAAAATGTATTTGATGGTGACCTGACCACGGCATATCATCGCAACTATACATGCTAGGTTCACCAAACTTAATACACAAGTTAATCATGACCCACAGATATGCCATGTGCTAAAAAATAGCAATCTTCATCTACGTCCATTGTGTGCAACATGACACACTCAAGTTCAATTACATGTCAGGTTTCCACGGAAAACACAAAAAAATCTAGTTTCCATAAATTATTACCGTAATCAGTACATGCCAAAACTATTATCTAACATTTATATAAAGTTTAGTAGAGTCAAAGAGAAAGTCTGGTGAGCTGCTGATCCTTGTCACATTATATATATCAATATCAGTCATTTCCATGTCCCAAAGTGGGAAGCGGGGGTATGTGAGCTTTGCTCACTTCTACACTTGTTATGTATTTAGCTTTCAACAGGTAAAATTGTCTAAATTAAACATCAGCTACTAAGCCCAGAACATCTTTTGATGACACCAGCATAAAGAGGAGTGTTTCATGTATTATCATGAATTAATTAGAGCAGTCAATTAACACCAGGAATGGTTACAGGGGTGGAAATAACTTTAAAATTTTTAGTGTACTCCGGTACAGTGGCACATGTAAAATCACTTGCCCTGATAATTTTTCCACTATACCGGCTGATTTTCCTGTTGATTTTTTAAATAAACAACATAATTAACATTGGAAAGTCAAATGGACACCGGTACTGTGTGATATACAAATTTGCTTGCCCGACAGAAAAAAACACTGGACTGGGGCGTCGGGCAATGGGTTATTTCCACCCCTGGGTTAGGACAATAGTGGTAACGGTTTGGACAGGAATGGTAACGGGCTGGACACAAACCTTAAACAATTTAATTCAACATAGAAACAGGTAACATGAAAGGAAAAAATGATATCATTTACTTCAACTGCTAACCCTATTTTGGACAGACAGTGAAATGTGTATTAGAAATTGTAACTTGTAACAAATGTGACATGTTTTCTTCCATGCTGTGGTAACGGTTTGGACATTTGTTATATCAATATGAAACTTGTGAATGAATTTAGGCTTTTGAATAAAAACAAACTGTAGCTTCTAAAGAACAGAAAAACACACCTGTCTAGGTTGAAAATCACTTATAATCTAAAGAAGAGTGCAATTGGGGAACGAAAATTGAATGAATAGTAACGGTTGTGACATTATTGGTAATGGTCAGGACATCAGTGTAAGAAACAAATGTTATCCCTCTAAAATGTTGCAAAAGATTACATTCTGAAAGATACTGCAACAACTATGATACTGTACACATGGTCATGCTACACAGGCCACTCCATAGATATCATTTTGCTGTTGATATTATGGTGCAGTATTAGTCTCCACAAAATATACTTCTTTCATTCACTCGGATATCTTTAGTTTTTGTTAATCGCGAGATGGTAACACATATTTATCAAATACAAAGGTTTGGCCAACATATTAGCACCTAGCAATATTCAAAGTAAGTAGTAATCTTACATATCTCACAGTTAAAGTCAAAACAGTTTACACCCAAAAAAAATCTTCAAAGGTTGGAATACTACAATTAAGTTGTTTACCGTTACTACATTTTGTCCAAACTGTTACCATAGATGTCCTAACCGTTACCTTTAATTATAAAGACCATAGATTTTATAGAAAATAGAAACTTAGCGTGATAAATTCGTTCTGGTTTTTATAATTTAGAGCAGATAGATAAGTAAATAGAAATTTATTATCAAACCATAGAACATATTTTTCAAAATTGAAATTTATTAAAGATATGTCCAGACCATTACTATTATTTGTCCAAACCGTTACTAGACACTGTGTTTTTTTATGCTACTACATCAAAACTCCTTTGAACAGTAAAATTCCATACTTAAACTATCTTAACTCTTAAAGTAATTATAAATTTGTTATATTTCAAATATTAATGAACAACTTTTTGAATTACAAATCATTTTGTCCTGACAGTTACAAGGACTGTCCAAACCGTTACTTTGCAGAATGGTAACGGTTTGGACAGTAACGGTCAAGACAATTTGTAAGTAAATCTAAAATAAAAAAATGAATGATCCTTAAAAGATTTCAAAGGACATGCCTTCCACCTCTTGCATTTCTGGCCAATATATCCGTTGAAATTTTTTTAAAAACAGAGAGCTATATTTGACACAAAATACATTGGTAACGGTCTGGACAATTAAGGTTGACACATAACATTTATACTTATTTGATGTTGTCAATTTTCAGCAAAATGTGTTGAATCTCTTTATTTCATCTGCTGTTACATGCTCAAGCAGACACAGGAAGTAGAATTACAATCCAGCTCCAGGGGGAAATTATTGCAGGAATTTCATACACTGGTAACGGTCAGGACACAAAATCACAGGACAAGCACGTTACAATTTGTAGAAAAAAACTTTTTCAGTTAAAAAAGAATTAAATGCAGTTTGAGTATGCCTGTTCAATCCTAATTGGCATAATTTGAATTATTTTGTTTATTTCCATTTATGTTTACATTATTTGTGAACATTGATATTAGGACCGTCACCTCCGGACAGAGCAAATCTGCCAATTTTGACCCTAAAATGTGGCTAAATATCAATTTCAAATGTATACCACATTTACTGACTAAAGTACTGTCGGAAATAGAAAAAAAATGTTTTTAGGCTGTTTCTCTGTATCCCTAAAATTTACACAATTGCAAATAGCATATGTCGAAATAACCCACTACAGCCTAACTGGGCGTTCAGTGCGATGCGTAATACGATATCCAGAAAAGCATGTATACTCGTAAAATCGGGCAAAACTTAGAAAAAATACGCATAGCTGCTGAAAACAATAGATCAGACTATAGATGGCAATTAGGTCGCTCAGTCAGGTATGACCGTCGACTCACCTGGAATGAAATGCACGTGCTGCCTACAGGCACAAGGGGTCATCTCAAAGATATTTTGTGCGTTTTCATATGTGTTGACTATGCCTCATCTATTGATTAACCTCTTACGTGTCTTTCTTTCATGAAGTTTATGTTGAGATATGTACGAGAGTATGATACCCGAAAACCATAGAAACGCATCGTAGTATATAGGTGACCACCCGAAGATCGACAGGACTGGATATTATTTGTAAATTGTTAGGACGTGCCGTGTACCTCCCCAGTATAATTGCCCTAAAGGATTATCTTATCTTAGCTGATATCTCTATCCCCAAGCCCGACCCCAGGTTTTGCTTTTGAGACGGCCACTCCTATCTGTTTCTTTTTATAGTGACAGTGAGACTGCATGGTAGCTACATCCTTAATAGTTTCGGCATAAAAGTTATTATTTTTTACGTCAGCTATTGTTTATAATAAATCTACGTCTAATTTCAAATTGGGCATTTAAAAAGTGTCCTTTGTAATACAATATCGTCGCACACTAATTTGCATAAAGCCATGGTCTGTTCCAAATAAGTCTTTTTGGACTTAGAAAAAAACCGCATTGCTCATTTCTGCACTAATTTCGCCTCAGTAAAGTCATTTTTCTCCGTTTCCTATCTTTCTACCACTGAGACTGTAGTTAGGCCGAACTTATTTTAACAGATGGTTCACACTTTCACATATCAACTACATAAATTGTAGAGATAAATGAGAAAATACATTTTTTTTCTATTTTCGACAGTACTATAGTAAACATCTAAATATGTTTTCTTGCACAAAAAAATCCTTTTAAGTTAACAGATCAGAGTGTTTTTTTATTTGGAACGGACAGAAAATACTACCAATTTTGAAAATGACCCATATAAATGTTATATTTGACCACTTTCTAAATGACATTGTGTACTCACTCCTTTCCTTTGTTTTCAGCTAATTTTGTGGATGGCATGTGACTTCAAGTGATTTTGTATGTTGCTATGGTTACAGAGTGCATGGGTCCTATGAGGCCCTGGAGGGAGGTCAAACAATGGATGCCCTGGTGGACCTGACAGGCGGGCTAGCAGAGAGGTACGAGCTTGAGGAGTATAACCCAAACATGTTCAGGCAGATCCTTCGAGCACATAAGACAGGAGCCTTCATTGCTTGCTCCAAGAAGGTAGGAGTGCTTGCTTTCCATGTTTGTGTTCATGTGTCTGTTCATGTGTGTGTTCACCTCTGTTTCTCTCTGTTCACCTTTGTGTTTCTTCCTGTTCACCTCTGTGTATGTGTGTTCACGTCTGTGTATCTGTGTGTTCACCTGTGTAAGTGTTTATCTGTGTTCACCTTTGTGTTTATCTGAGTGTTCACCTCTGTGTTTATCTGTGTGTTCACCTCAGTGTTTATCTGTGTGTTCACCTCTGTGTTTATCTGTGTGTTCACCTCTGTGTTTATCTGTGTGTTCACCTCTGTGTTTATCTGTGTGTTCACCTCTGTGTTTATCTGTGTGTTCACCTCTGTGTTTATCTGTGTGTTCACCTCTGTGTTTCTGTGTGTTCACCTCTGTGTTTATCTGTGTGTTCACCTCTGTGTTTATCTGTGTGTTCACCTCTGTGTTTATCTGTGTGTTCACCTCTGTGTTTATCTGTGTGTTCACCTCTGTGTTTATCTGTGTGTTCACCTCTGTGTTTATCTGTGTGTTCACCTCTGTTTATCTGTGTGTTCACCTCTGTGTTTATCTGTGTGTTCACCTCTGTTTATCTGTGTGTTCACCTCTGTGTTTATCTGTGTGTTCACCTCTCTGTGTGTTCACCTCTGTGTTTATCTGTGTGTTCACCTCTGTGTTTATCTGTGTGTTCACCTCTGTGTTCTACCTCTGTGTTCATCCTCACCTCTGTGTTTATCTGTGTTCACCTCTGTGTTTATCTGTGTGTTCACCTCTGTGTTTATCTGTGTGTTCACCTCTGTGTTTATCTGTGTGTTCACCTCTGTGTTTATCTGTGTGTTCACCTCTGTGTTTATCTGTGTGTTCACCTCTGTGTTTATCTGTGTGTTCACCTCTGTGTTTATCTGTGTGTTCACCTCTGTGTTTATCTGTGTGTTCACCACTGTGTTTATCTGTGTGTTCACCTCTGTGTTTATCTGTGTGTTCACCTCTGTGTTTATCTGTGTGTTCACCTCTGTGTTTATCTGTGTGTTCACCTCTGTGTTTATCTGTGTGTTCACCTCTGTGTTTATCTGTGTGTTCACCTCTGTGTTTATCTGTGTGTTCACCTCTGTGTTTATCTGTGTGTTCACCACTGTGTTTATCTGTGTGTTCACCTCTGTGTTTATCTGTGTGTTCACCTCTGTGTTTATCTGTGTGTTCACCTCTGTGTTTATCTGTGTGTTCACCTCTGTGTGTTTATCTGTGTGTTCACCTCTGTGTTTATCTGTGTGTTCACCTCTGTGTTTATCTGTGTGTTCACCTCTGTGTTTATCTGTGTGTTCACCTCTGTGTTTATCTGTGTGTTCACCTCTGTGTTTATCTGTGTGTTCACCTCTGTGTTTATCTGTGTGTTCACCTCTGTGTTTATCTGTGTGTTCACCTCTGTGTTTATCTGTGTGTTCACCTCTGTGTTTATCTGTGTGTTCACCTCTGTGTTTATCTGTGTGTTCACCTCTGTTTTATCTGTGTGTTCACCTCTGTTTATCTGTGTGTTCACCTCTGTGTTTATCTGTGTGTTCACCTCTGTTTTATCTGTGTGTTCACCTCTGTGTTTATCTGTGTGTTCACCTCTGTGTTTATCTGTGTGTTCACCTCTCTGTTTATCTGTGTGTTCACCTCTGTGTTTCACCTCTTGTGTTCTGTGTGTTCACCTCTGTGTTTATCTGTGTTTCACCTCTGTGTTTATCTGTGTTTCACCTCTGTGTTTATCTGTGTGTTCACCTCTGTGTTTATCTGTGTGTTCACCTCTGTGTTTATCTGTGTTCACCTCTGTGTTTATCTGTGTTCACCTCTGTGTTTATCTGTGTGTTCACCTCTGTGTTTATCTGTGTGTTCACCTCTGTGTTTATCTGTGTGTTCACCTCTGTTTATCTGTGTGTTCACCTCTGTTTATCTGTGTGTTCACCTCTGTTTATCTGTGTGTTCACCTCTGTTTATCTGTGTTCACCTCTGTGTTTATCTGTGTGTTCACCTCTGTGTTTATCTGTGTTCACCTCTGTGTTTATCTGTGTTCACCTCTGTGTTTATCTGTGTGTTCACCTCTGTGTTTATCTGTGTGTTCACCTCTGTTTTTATCTGTGTTCACCTCTGTGTTTATCTGTGTTCACCTCTGTGTTTATCTGTGTGTTCTGTGTTTATCTCTGTGTTTATCTGTGTCTGTGTGTTCACCTCTGTTTATCTGTGTGTTCACCTCTGTGTATCTGTGTTTACTATCTGTCACCTCTGTGTTTATCTGTGTGTTCACCTCTGTGTTTATCTGTGTGTTCACCTCTGTGTTTATCTGTGTTCATCTGTGTGTTCACCTCTGTTTATCTGTGTGTGTTTATCTGTGTGTTCACTGTGTTTATCTGTGTGTTCATCACTGTGTTTATCTGTGTTTCACCTCTGTGTTTTATCTGTGTTCACCCTCTGTGTTTATCTGTGTGTTCACCTCTGTGTTTATCTGTGTGTTCACCTCTGTGTTTTATCTGTGTGTTCACCTCCTGTGTTCACCTGTGTTTATCTGTGTGTTCACCTCTGTTTTTATCTGTGTGTTCACCTCTGTGTTTATCTGTGTGTTCACCTCTGTGTTCTGTTTATCTGTGTGTTCACCTCTGTGTTTATCTGTGTGTTCACCTCTCTGTGTGTTTATCTGTGTGTTCACCTCTGTGTTTATCTGTGTGTTCACCTCTGTGTTTATCTGTGTGTTCACCTCTGTGTTTATCTGTGTGTTCACCTCTGTGTTTATCTGTGTGTTCACCTCTGTGTTTATCTGTGTGTTCACCTCTGTGTTTATCTGTTTATCTGTGTGTGTTCACCTCTGTGTTTATCTGTGTGTTCACCTCTGTGTTTATCTGTGTTCACCTCTGTGTTTATCTGTGTGTTCACCTCTGTGTGTTTACCTGTGTGTTCATCACTGTTTATCTGTGTTCACCTCTGTTTATCTGTGTGTTCACCTGTTTATCTGTGTTCACCTCTGTGTTTATCTGTGTGTTCACCTCTGTGTTTATCTGTGTGTTCACCTCTGTGTTTATCTGTGTGTTCATCACTGTGTTTATCTGTGTTCACCTCTGTGTTTATCTGTGTGTTCACCTCTGTGTTTATCTGTGTGTTCACCTCTGTGTTTATCTGTGTTCACCACTGTTTATCTGTGTGTTCACCTCTGTGTTTATCTGTGTGTTCACCTCTGTGTGTTCACCTCTGTGTTTATCTGTGTGTTCACCTCTGTGTTTATCTGTGTGTTCACCTCTGTGTTTATCTGTGTTCATCACTGTGTTTATCTGTGTTCACCTCTGTGTTTATCTGTGTGTTCACCTCTGTGTTTATCTGTGTGTTCACCTCTGTGTTTATCTGTGTGTTCACCTCTGTGTTTATCTGTGTGTTCATCACTGTGTTTATCTGTGTGTTCACCTCTGTGTTTATCTGTGTGTTCACCTCTGTGTTTATCTGTGTGTTCACCTCTGTGTTTATCTGTGTTCATCACTGTGTTTATCTGTGTTCACATCTGTGTTTATCTGTGTGTTCACCTCTGTGTTTATCTGTGTGTTCACCTCTGTGTTTATCTGTGTGTTCACCTCTGTGTTTATCTGTGTGTTCATCACTGTTTATCTGTGTGTTCACCTCTGTGTTTATCTGTGTGTTCACCTCTGTGTTTATCTGTGTTCACCACTGTTTATCTGTGTGTTCACCTCTGTGTTTATCTGTGTGTTCACCTCTGTTTATCTGTGTGTTCACCACTGTGTTTATCTGTGTGTTCACCTCTGTTTATCTGAGTGTTCACCTCTGTGTTTATCTGTGTGTTCACCTCTGTGTTTATCTGTGTGTTCACCTCTGTTTATCTGTGTGTTCACCTCTGTGTTTATCTGTGTGTTCACCTCTGTTTATCTGTGTGTTCACCTCTGTTTATCTGTGTTCACCTCTGTGTTTATCTGTGTGTTCACCTCTGTGTTTATCTGTGTGTTCACCTCTGTGTTTATCTGTGTTCACCTCTGTGTTTATCTGTGTGTTCACCTCTGTTTATCTGTGTGTTCACCTCTGTTTATCTGAGTGTTCACCTCTGTGTTTATCTGTGTGTTCACCTCTGTGTTTATCTGTGTGTTCACCTCTGTTTATCTGTGTGTTCACCTCTGTGTTTATCTGTGTGTTCACCTGTGTTTATCTGTGTGTTCACCTCTGTGTTTATCTGTGTTCACCTCTGTGTTTATCTGTGTGTTCACCTCTGTGTTTATCTGTGTGTTCACCTCTGTTTATCTGTGTGTTCACCTCTGTGTTTATCTGTGTGTTCACCTGTGTGTTTATCTGTGTGTTCACCTCTGTGTTTATCTGTGTTCACCTCTGTGTTTATTTATGTGTTGATGTGTTCATCAGTGTTCATTCGTAATTTCATTCATGATTTCATCACTGACTTGATTTCTGAAACACTAATGCTGGACATCTTGTTGCCATGGATTCAAGTTTCCCCTGACCAGTGTGTTTACTTGTTGCCAGGGAGACTGGAAGAGTGGGAACAATGCAGATGCTAACGGTCTCGTGTCTGGTCATGCATACACAATCACAGGAATCAGAAAGGTAGGTTTGGACAGCTTAAGTGGAGGATTACACGATGCCATTTTAGAAAGTGGTCAAATATAACATAGGTTATATTTGGGATTACACTTTCTTAGTAAAGTACAAATTCTAGTACTGGAACGGTTATGTCACGTGGATTTACAATACTGAGGAATTCTCTCTCTCCTGTCCTTGCAGATGTCACAATTTATATTCCACCTGTTATATGGAATGGCCACCTGTAACAGGCAATGCTGTTTGATTTCATGATAATAACATACAGGAGGAATATGGTCTGAATCATTAAATTATCACATCTGTTAAATTATTAAGATGTTCATGGTTGAAGATCTTGATACTCATTATATTATCCCCTGGACAAAAGTTATCATCAGTTAACGTTGGAACAGATTGTCAGCTCATCTGAGTGGCAGCAGTTGGTCACTGGTCACACTTGGTAAAACTTTGACATTGTAACCTTAAAAGTTAGTTTCCTTTTGTAAAGGACATGTTGTTACCAGGCTTGCACTGTTTTCAGATTGGCCACCAGATGGGTGAGGAGAAGCTGGTTAGGATCCGGAACCCGTGGGGTGATGCTACTGAGTGGAAGGGGTCATGGAGTGACAAGTAGGGCCACTGTCTGCAGTACCCCGATCTAGAACAACCAAGAGTCCACATGTTATACATGAAATAACAGTTTCTCTGTATAGTACAGGTTCTAGACCCCATTGTTAAGGGCATTACATATTCATCTTGCCTGATTGTCTCCACTTAAGACAGGCAATAAATGTAACCCATATAACAGTTTTCACCTCATGTGTGTCTGGCTAATCTAGTCGTGCATCACTGCATGTGGAAATTCCCTGTTTCCCCAGCAAGACCCTTCTCCCTGTTTCCCCAGCAAGACCCTTCTCCCTGTTTCCCCAGCAAGACCCTTCTCCCTGTTTCCCCAGCAAGACCCTTCTCCCTGTTTCCCCAGCAAGAACCTGCTCCCTGTTTCCCCAGCAAGACCCTTCTCCCTGTTTCCCCAGCAAGACCCTTCTCCCTGTTTCCCCAGCAAGTACTTGCTCCCTGTTTCCCCAGCAAGACCCTTCTCCCTGTTTCCCAAGCAAGAACCTGCTCCCTGTTTCACTGTTTCCCCTGCAAGACTCTTCTCCCTGTTTCCCCAGCAAGACTCCTGTTTCCCCACAAGTTTCCCTGTTTCCCCAGCAAGACCCTTCTCCCTGTTTCCCCCCAGCAAGAACCTGCTCCCTGTTTCACTGTTTCCCCCAGCAAGACCTGCTCCCTGTTTCCTGTTTCCCCAGCAAGTACCTGCTCCCTGTTTCACTGTTTCCCCAGCAAGTACCTGCTCCCTGTTTCCCTGTTTCCCCAGCAAGTACCTGCTCCCTGTTTCCCCAGCAAGTACCTGCTCCCTGTTTCCCCCAGCTGTTTCCCCCAGCAAGTTCCTGCTCCCTGTTTCCCCAGCAAATACCTGCCCCTGTTTCCTGTTTCCCCAGCAAGTACCTGCTCCCTGTTTCCTTGTTCCCTGTTTCCCAGCAAGTACCTGCTCCCTGTTTCCCTGTTTCCCCAGCAAATTACCTGCTCCCTGTTTCCCTGTTTCCCCAGCAAGTACCTGCTCCCTGTTTCCCAGCAAGTACCTGTTTCCCCAGCAAGTACCTGCTCCTGTTTCCCTGTTTCCCCAGCAAGTTCCCTGCTCCCTGTTTCCAGCAAGTTACCTGCTCCCTGTTTCCCTGTTTCCCCAGCAGCAAGTACCTGCTCCCTGTTTCCCTGTTTCCCCAGCAAGTACCTGCTCCCTGTTTCTCTGTTTCCCCCAGCAAGTACCTGCTCCCTGTTTCCCTGTTTCCCCCAGCAAGTACCTGCTCCCTGTTTCCCTGTTTCCCCAGCAAGTACCTGCTCCCTGTTTCCCTGTTTCCCCCAGCAAGTACCTGCTCCCTGTTTCTCTGTTTCCCCCAGCAAGTACCTGCTCCCTGTTTCCCTGTTTCCCCCTGTTCTCAGCAGCAAGTACCTGCTCCCTGTTTCCTGTTTCCCCAGCAAGTTCCTGCTCCTGTTTCCTGTTTCCCCAGCAAGTACCTGCTCCCTGTTTCTCCCTGTTACCTGCCCCACTGTTTCCCAGCAAGTACCTGTTTCCCTGTTTCCCTCCCTGTTTCCCCAGCAAGTACCTGCTCCTGTTTCCTTTCTTCCCCAGCAGCAAATACCTGCTCCTGTTTCCCCTGTTTCCCCAGCAAGTGCACCTGCTCCCTGATTCTCTGTTTCCCCAACAAGTTCCTGCTCCCTGTTTCCCCTGCAAGTACCTGCTCCCTGTTTCCCTGTTTCCCCAGCAAGCTACCTGTTCCCCTGTTTCACTGTTTCCCCAGCAAGTACCTGCTCCCTGTTTCCCTGCAAGTACCCTCCCTGTTTCCCCTGTTTCCCCAGCAAATGCTCCCTGTTTCCCCAGCAAATTACCTGCTCCCTGTTTCCCTGTTTCTTCCAGCAAGTACCTGCTCCCTGTTTCCCTGTTTCCCCCAGCAAATACCTGCTCCCTGTTTCTCCCAGCAATTACCTGCTCCCTGTTTCCCCCAGCAAGTTCCTGCTCCCTGTTTCTCCCAGCAAGTACCTGCTCCCTGTTTCCCTGTTTCCCCCAGCAAGTTCCTGCTCCCTGTTTCCCCCAGCAAATACCTGCTCCCTGTTTCACTGTTTCTCCCAGCAAGTACCTGCTCCCTGTTTCACTGTTTCTCCCAGCAAGTACCTGCTCCCTGTTCCCTTGTTTCGGCCAGCAAGTACATGTTTCCTGTTTCCCCCAGCAAGTACCTGCTCCCTGTTTCTCTGTTTTCCCCAGCAAGTACCTGTTTCCTGTTTCCCCCAGCAAAAATCTGTTCCCTGTTTCCCTCTTTTCGCCAACAAGTACCTGCTCCTTGTTTCCCTTTTTCTTCCAAGCCAGTGCACCCTCCTTGATTTCCCCCTATCATGCATTGTTCCTGTTTTTCTCCAGTGATGTCAACTGGGAGTGGGTAGACGATGACACCAAGGATAGTCTGGGACTTGAGTCCCGCGATGACGGAGAATTCTGGATGTCCTTCAAGGACTTTTGTCGCCATTTCCAAGAAGTGACAATCTGCCTGACTGGTCCTGACTTTGATGGGGACGGAGTGTCTGACAGTGCAGGTAGGGACACGTGACCACAGATGCTGGATGCACTGTACAGAACAACAGGATCAGGCCACGCTTACTCAGCCTCATATCATTGGTGTTATGGACACATCTTCAAATTACATTGACTGGTCTCCTAAAATACTTTCTTGGAGTATGCATGAAATTATTGATGAAATTATCCTTCCTCTTTTAACTTGTTTAACTTTGTTTCATGAATGGCATCGAGCCAGATACTATTTGACCCCTGTGTCTTATGATTGGCCGAACCTTTATTGTCTAATGGTACGTGATTTCCAGGTCACTTTGTAAGACTTGATGGAGGTTGGGAAGATGGTGTCAATGCCGGAGGATCGCACAATGACCTCAAGCTATTTGCTATCAACCCACAATATCTTCTAACTCTCACACACCCAGGTATGCTTGTTGTTATTTAACAATGAAAATGTTAGTAGACATTTGTCTCTATGTATTTGACTTAAATTGTGTTGAGTTGAAATAAAAGAGAATTAAGTAAGAGCCTAGCTCTAGGTGACGGTCTAAACCTGGCTCTAGGTGCCTGTATAAGCCTAGTTCTAGGAAATCCAGTAAAAAGACTAGTTCTTGGTGCTGGTGTAAGCCTAGTTCTAGTGAAAGCTTAGCTTTAGATGCCAGTGTAACCTTAGCTGTAGGTGCCAGTCTTTTCATAGGTGTAGGTGACGGTGTTAGTCTAGGCCTAGGTGTAAATGTTGTCCTAGGTCTTGGGCACAGTGTTACCCTAAGTCTTGGATACAGTGTTAGTCTATATCTAGCACACAGTGTCAGCCTAGGTCTTGGACACCATGTTAGCATTGGTCTTGGGCACAGTGTTAGTCTATGTCTTGGACACAGTGTTAGTCTATGTCTTGGACACAGTGTTAGTCTATGTCTTGGACACAGTGTTAGTCTATGTCTTGGACACAGTGTTAGTCTATGTCTTGGGCACAGGGTTAGTCTAGGTCTTGGACAGTGTTATCCTTGGTCTTGGACACAGTGTTAGTCTAGGTCTTGGGCACAGTGTTAGCCTAGGTCTTGGACATAGTGTTAGCCTAGGTCTTGGACATAGTGTCAGCCTAGGTCTTGGACAGTGTTATCCTAGGTCTTGGACACCATGTTAGCACAGTGTTAGTCTAGGTCTTGGACACAGTGTTAGTCTAGGTCTTGGACACAGTGTTAGTCTAGGTCTTGGACACAGTGTTAGTCTAGGTCTTGGACACAGTGTTACCCTAGGTCTTGGACACAGTGTTACCCTAGGTCTTGGACACAGTGTGAGTCTAGGTCTTGGACATAGTGTTAGTCTATGTCTTGGGCACAGGGTTAGTCTAGGTCTTGGACACAGTGCTAGCCGTGGTCTTTGGCACAGTATTGGGCAGTCTTGGTCTTGGACACAGTGTTACCCTAGGTCTTGGACACAGTGTTAGTCTAGGTCTTGGGCACAGGGTTAGTCTAGGTCTTGGACACAGTGCTAGCCGTGGTCTTTGGCACAGTGTTAGCCGTGGTCTTTGACACAGTGTTAGTCTTGGTCTTGGACACAGTGTTACCCTAGGTCTTGGATACAGTGTTAGTCTTGGTCTTGGATACAGTGTTAGTCTAGGTCTTGGACACAGTGTTAGTCTAGGTCTTGGACACAGTGTTAGTCTAGGTCTTGGGCACAGTGTTAGTCTAGGTCTTGGACACAGTGCTACCCTGGTCTTGGACACAGTGTTAGTCTTGGTCTTGGACACAGTGTTAGTCTAGGTCTTGGACACAGGACACAGTGCTTGGACACAGTGGTCTTTGGTCTTTGGCACAGTGTTAGGTCTTTTGGCACAGTGTTAGTCTTTGACACAGTGTTAGTCTTGGTCTTGGACACAGTGTTACCCTAGGTCTTGGATACAGTGTTAGTCTTGGTCTTGGTCTTGGTCTTGGATACAGTGTTAGTCTTGGTAGGTCTTGGATACAGTGGTTAGCACTGTGTTTTCCTAGGGTCTTGGACACAGTGTTATGGTCTTGGACACAGGTACCCTAGGTCTTGGATACAGTGTTAGTCTTGGTCTTGGATACAGTGTTAGTCTAGGTCTTGGACATAGTGTTAGTCTATGTCTTGGGCACAGGGTTAGTCTAGGTCTTGGACACAGTGCTAGCCGTGGTCTTTGGCACAGTGTTTGGTCTTGGACACAGTGTTACCCTAGGTCTTGGACACAGTGTTAGTCTAGGTCTTGGGCACAGGGTTTTTCTTGGACACTTGGGCACCGTGTCTTTGGCACTGTAGCCGGTGGTCTTTGACACAGTGTTAGTCTTGGTCTTGGACACAGTGTTACCCTAGGTCTTGGATCCAGTGTTAGTCTTGGTCTTGGATACAGTGTTACCCTAGGTCTTGGATACAGTGTTAGTCTTGGTCTTGGACACAGTGTTATCCTAGGTATTGGGCACAGTGTTTTTCTAGGTCTTGGGCACTGTGTTTTCCTAGGTCTTAGGCACAGTGTTAGTGGTTATGGGCACTGTGGGTCTTAGGACAGTGTTAGCAGTGTCTTGGGCACTGTGTTTTCCTAGGTCTTAGGCACACAGTGTTCGCCTAGTCTTGGACACACTGTGGGCCTTGGTCTTGGGCACAGTGTTATTCTAGGTCTTTTATGCACAGTGTTACAATGGTCTTTGACACAGTGTTCGCCTAGTCTTGGACACAGTGTTATCCTAGGTCTTTGACACAGTGTTTTCTAGGTCTTAGTGCAAGTTTTAGCCTAGGTTGAGAAGCCAGTGTTAGTTAAGGTTTAGGTGAAAGTGTCATCAGAAGTTCCTTAACAATGCCAGCTGCTTATTCACTTGTAATATCCCTAGTGCTATCGAAGTTGGATTATTGCAACGGGGTCTTCTACGGATTGTGAGAAACACTCATCTCAAAACTACAAAGAGTACAAAACTGAGCAGCTCGCATTCTCACAAAAGTGTCCAAGAGAGAACATTATTATGAGCCTTACACTGGCTGCCCATAAGAGCAGAGTGGAGTTTAAGATCCTGAGTCTAGCCCATCAGTTTATCATGAAACTGCCCCCGACTACCTCAATGAGTTGGTGACCAAACATGTTCCATCGAGAGCCTTACTATCAGCTGATCAACATCTATTGGTCATCCCAAGACGTAAACTAAAATCCGTTGGTTTTCATTCTTTTAGTTGTGGAGCCCCAACACTATGGCACCAGCTGCTTCTCGAACCAGGAACAACATCCCTTGATTCCTTCAAATGTGCCTTGAAAACATTCCTTGAAAACATTCCTCTTGAGAAAGTATTACAGTGTTTAACAAACATGTCCTGAAAGGTTTCAAGCTTTTTATGTACAAATGTTTTATGTGTTGTAGCACTTCCATCACCTTGTTTTATGTAGCGCTTTGAGCATACTCTTTGTATGGAATCAAGTGGTGCAAGTGTAAGCCTAGGTCTTGGTGCAAGTGTAAGCCTAGGTCTTGGTGCAAGTGTAAGCCTAGGTCTTGGTGCAAGTGTAAGCCTATCTCTAAGTGCCGGTGTAAGCCAAGGTCTAGGTGCCAGTGTAACCCTATCTCTAAGTGCCGGTGTAAGCCAAGGTCTAGGTGCCAGTGTAACCCTAGATCTAAGTGCTGGTGTAAGCCAAGGTCTAGGTGCCAGTGTAACCCTAGATCTAAGTGCTGGTGTAAGCCTAGGTCTAGGTGCGGTGTAACCCTAGATCTAAGTGCCGGTGTTAGTCTAGGTCTAGGTGCCGGTGTTAGTCTAGGTCTAGGTGCCGGTGTTAGTCTAGGTCTAGGTGTCCAGTGTAACCCTATCTCTAAGTGCCGGTGTCACCCTAAATCTAAGTGCGGTGTTAGTCTAGGTCTTTGTGCAAAGTGTTAGCCTTGGTCTTAGTGCAAGTGTAAGCCCAGGTCTTTGTGCAAGTGTAAGCCTAGGTCTTGGTGCAGTGTAAGCCATAGGTCTAGGTGCCAGTGTAACCCTATCTCTAAGTGCTGGTGTAAGCCAAGGTCTAGGTGCCAGTGTAACCCTAGATCTAAGTGCTGGTGTAAGCCAAGGTCTAGGTGCCAGTGTAACCCTAGATCTAAGTGCCGGTGTTAGTCTAGGTCTAGGTGCCGGTGTTAGTCTAGGTCTAGGTGCCGGTGTTAGTCTAGGTTTAGGTGTCAGTGTAACCCTATCTCTAAGTGCCGGTGTCACCCTAAATCTAAGTGCCGGTGTTAGTCTAAGTCTTTGTGCAAGTGTTAGCCTTGGTCTTAGTGCAAGTGTAAGCCTAGGTCTTGGTGCAAGTGTAAGCCTAGGTCTTGAGGCAAGTGTAAGCCTAGGTCTAGGTGTCAGTGTAACCCTATCTCTAAGTGCCGGTGTAAGCCAAGGTCTAGGTGCCAGTGTAACCCTAGATCTAAGTGCCGGTGTTAGTCTAGGTCTAGGTGCCGGTGTTAGTCTAGGGCTAGGTGCCAGTGTAAGCAGGTATGAAGGTGATCTGGTTCTTGTTTTTCCAATACCCTCATGTTGTTCCTGCCCAGATGACTTCAACCAGGACATGGATGACGCAGAGAGTGAGGGGAAGTGTAGCATCGTCATCGCCCTGATGCAGGAACACAAGGTCAACGTCTGCAGTGTCAAGGACAAGCGCCTGCAGATCGGATTCATGCTGTACAAGGTGACACTGAACTTCCTCTGTGTGTGTGTGCGTGCGTGCGTGCGTGCGTGTGTCAGTGTGTCAAATAACTCTTCATTTCTAAAACTAATGCAGGCGAGATTATCACTGTAACTTGTCTCGAGTCTCATGGGTTGACCACAGTAGCATATCAGTGTACCAGGACTCAAGTTAGTCTCATGGATTGGGCTTGTTGAAGGGATATAACCGTAGGCTTGTTGAAGTGATATAATCGTGGGCTTGTTGAAGTGATATAATCGTAGGCTTGTTGAAGTGGTGATATAATCGTGGGCTTGTTGAAGTGATATAATCGTGGGCTTGTTGAAGTGATATAATCGTGGGCTTGTTGAAGTGATATAACCGTGGCCTTGTTGAAGTGTTATAATTGTGGGCTTGTTGAAATTATCTTATCGTGGGCTTGTTGAAGTGATATAACCGTTGGCTTGTTGAAGTGATATAATTGTGGGCCTGTTGAAGTGCTGTAATCATGGGCTTGTTGAAGTGATATAACCGTTGGCTTGTTGAAGTGATATAACCGTGGGCTTGAAGCTTGTTCAAAGCTTGTTCAGTGCTGTAATTATGTGCTTGTTGAAGTGATATAACCATGGGCTTGTTGAAGTGATATAACCGTTGATTCATAACCGTGGGCTTGTTGAAGTGATATAACCGCTGTAATGCTGTAATTATGGGCTTGTTGAAGTGATATAATTGTTGGCTTGTTAAAGTGATCTAACCATGGGCTTGTTGAAGTGATCTAATCGTGGGCTTGTTGAAGTGATATAATCGTGGGCTTGTTGAAGTGATCTAATCGTGGGCTTGTTGAAGTGATATAATCGTGGGCTTGTTGAAGTGATCTAATCCAGGGCTTGTTGAAGTGATATAATCGTGGGCTTGTTGAAGTGATCTAATCGTGGGCTTGTTGAAGTGGTCTAACCATTGGCTTGTTGAAGTGATCTAATCGTGGGCTTGTTGAAGTGATGTAACCATGGGCTTGTTGAAGTGATCTAACCATAGGTTCGTTGAAGTGATCTAATCATGGCCTTGTTGAAATGATATACCCATGGGCTTGTTGAAGTGATGTAACCATGGGCTTGTTGAAGTGATATGACCATGTGCTTGTTGAAGTTCGGTTATCGTGGGCTTGTTGAAGTGATATAATTGTGGGCATGTTGAAGTGATATAATTGTGGGCTTGTTGAAGTGACTTGATTGTGGGCTTGTTGAAGTGATATAAATGGTTATGGCCCGGGAAAGCGAAATCTGGACTAAACCTCAATTTAGGTTTCGCTTTCGCGGGAACGGTCAAACTACAGTTAACACTGAATTTCGTTTCCAGGACTCTCAATACTCAAGAAAAACAAAAAAATGTGAGTCGTCGTCTGATACCGTAGTCATGGTAGAAACTTTCCAAATTTCCAAATGTTGCGGTAAAGTAAATTATAGTAACGTAAATTAGTTCTGATAATGAATAATGATGAAGACTATGACTATGAAAAATATGGTAGATTTTGAGTTATAACGGTAACGTATGATTACTTGCTTAATAAATCTCTACTGATGTCGAGCATATATTTCCAAATTTTAAGAAAAATCAATGTTCACGAAATTAGCGAGAAGAGATGAACAGGCCAATCAAGAAAAAGTATCTTGTGGGTCTGTGCGATGATTTACCACAAGAAAAGCTGTAAACAAACACAACGTAACGTAAATTACTCTGACTCTACTGACATAATCTAACGTGGGTTTGGGGTTTGGTTGGTGAACCACCGACATGCTAACATGGGCGAATTAACCCATATGTATGTTGGTTCTTTCATGACCCTACATATAACAAAACTTCCGTTGAATAAAATTTTGCAGCAAGCTTCAATGCAAAGAATACACACTACCGACATATCAAAAATGCCGCCATAGAACCAGATGTTTGCTTCTGACGCTGCAATAAAACTTACTGCAGTCTTAATGAAGGTTAATAATTATTGCAAATTTAGTGTTATTTAGAATACCTGCACAGATACACCTAGATTTAATATCAAATTTGAAAGCACCGACAGCCAAAATGTCGGCGACAGAAATTGTCCAGTTAACTAAGAATTAGTGAGATCTGCTCGAACAACCGTCTTTGCATGGTGGATTAAATAAAATAGTCAAATAAGTCAAACAACAAACGAATTTTACTACACAGCTCCAATAATTCTTTTCTCGGAGGGTTTTCCTACACCGATGCTTAAACTTGTCATAGATCAAGTGCTGAAACTTCAAACAACTGAAACTTCATCTCAGGTAAGAGTCTAACAGATTGAATATTGGGGTCGCGCTCTAATCTGAAATACGGTATTCCGATGTTTTCATAGCAATTCGCTTTCACGGCACTTCTAGCACATCTTTGGTTTTCGCTTTATCGGGAATAGGGAATATTGAAATTTCGCTTTCCCGGGCCGACACCATATAATTGTGGTCTTATTGAAGGGTGTCCTCCCATTACGCAGACAGGCAGGTCGCAGACGCCTTAAAACAACAACATTTATGGTTCAATGAACAGATTACAGTCCGTTTGAGTCAGAAACGGACCGATGAACTGCAAATTTTATCACTGTACAAAATTGCCACATAAATATAAATAGTACACATGTTTATCATTTACTAATACCAAACAGCTTTCTGATATTTGAAAATTTTCCGGACTCCACCAAAAAAGTTGTTTAAGAAACTATCATCATTGAAAACGCAAAGGTTGTTACCTGTCGCGGTGGGGTGAAACAGCAGAAACGGAACAGCCACTATCTCGTCGTGCACGGGATACACATGCCTGATGAAAAATGAAGTTGAATGCTGACGTGAAATAGTTGATTAAAGTGTATGATTTTTCCCGTACTGAAGCCGAAAGAGGCAAACCATTTTATGCCATTAATAAATTCTGTAAGCGGGCAGCAAAAGCTTTAGGAGTATCAGCAAGGGTACTGACAAATGTTCTGGAACACAAACATTGTGAGGGTGATGCGAAGCAGGTAGGGGTCGTGTCAAAATCACACAAATTGAAACATTTGGACAACTTTCAAAAGAACCTTGTAAGGCAGTCTATCAACAAGCTCTATTCTGAAAACAAATACAATTGCACTGAAATTTTTAAAAAAGCATTTGAAGCAAGAACACAACCTCAGAGTATCAAAGTACACACTCTGGCGACTCTTACACTCTTTCGGGTATCGTTATAAGAAAATTTCGGGGGAGAATAGGTCAGTACTCTGTGAACGCTCTGATATCGTTCGCTTGAGAAATAATTTTCTCAGGGCTATAAAGAAGAAGCGCGAGGAAGGGTTTGAGCCAGTGTACTTGGATGAGACCTGGGTCAATGCCTCGCACACTGCCAGCAGTCAGTGGGTACCCGATGGGGGGTGATAAGGGGTCATGTAGAAAGCTGCCTCTAGGGAAAGGAGAGAGACTAATCATTCTCCATGCTGGTTGCTCCAGCAAAGGCTTTCTCCCAGGCTGCGACTTGGTATTCAGGGCAAAGTCCACAGATAACAGAGACTACCATTCCGAGATGAATGGTGCGGTTTTCCTCGATTGGGTTAAAAACAAGTTGGTACCAGCTCTACCAGAGAAGTCTTTTATCGTAATGGACAATGCCCCATACCACAGCGTGCAGGACCCAGACAGTAAAGCCCCGACATCGAACAGTCGAAAAGGTGATATGATATCATGGCTCAACAAATTTCAGATGGCACGGCCTTCAAAGGCAACGAAGCCTCAGCTATATGAGATCATAAAAACCCACAAAGGTGAACCTTTCTACAAAGTTGACAGTTACATAAAAAGTAAGGGTCACGATATTCTGGGACTTCCACCCTATCACTGTGACCTTAACCCCATTGAAATGATATGGGGTTTTGTCAAAGGAGATGTTGTCAGATCAAACACAACTTTTAGATTACGTGACGTAGAGGTTTTGGTTAAGGAATCCCTTAACAAAATCACGACTGAAACTTGGCAAAACTGTGTCAACAAGGTAGCTCACGTCATTGAACAAGGTTACTGGTCTCGGGATGGCTTACAACAGGCAACTGTGGCACCACTTGTCATCCCTTTAAGTCGTGACTATGACACTACGACAGACAAGGAACCCACAGGTGTCCTGGAATAGATTTTGAGATGTCCCCCGCCATGACTGGCTGTTCCGTTTCTGCGGTTTCACCCCGCCGAGAAAGATAACACCTTTTTCGTTTTCAATGATGATAGTTTCTTAAACAACCTTTTTGGTGGAGTCCGGGAAATTTTCAAATATCAGAAAGCTGTTTGGTATTAGTAAATGATAAACATGTGTACTATTTATATTATGTGGCAATTTTGTACAATGATAAAATTTGCAGTTCATCGGTCCGTTTCTGACTCAAACGGACTGTACCTACTACCTGTTACCTACACATTATAATGGAATAGTCCAAATAAGAACGCAAGAAGAAAACTGAAGCTGTATTATTTACTTTGAAAGATGGCTCAAAAAGACATTTGAATTTTGAATGCTGCTGCTGTTGAAGTGATATAATGATGGCCTTGTTGAAGTGATATGGTTGTGGCCTTGTTGAAGTGATATAACCGTGGGCTTATTGAAGTGATATAACCGTAGGCTTGTTGAAGTGATATAATGATGGCCTTGTTGAAGTGATATGGTTGTGGCCTTGTTGAAGTGATATAACCGTGGGCTTGTTGAAGTGATATAATGATGGCCTTGTTGAAGTGATATGTTTGTGGCCTTGTTGAAGTGATATGGTTGTGGGCTTGTTAAAGTGATATGATTGTGGGCTTGTTGAAGTGATATGGTTGTGGGCTTGTTGAAGTGATATGATTGTAGGCTTGTTGAAGTGATATAACCATGGGCTTGTTAAAGTGATATAACCGTGGGCTTATTGAAGTGATATAACCGTGGGCTTGTTGAAGTGATATAATGATGGCCTTGTTGAAGTGATATGGTTGTGGCCTTGTTGAAGTGATATGATTGTGGGC